AAGTCAGCTAAGGTGGCTTGGGCATCTGTTTTGGATGCCTCCTGGACGCCTACCTAGGAAGGTGTTCCAGGCATGTCCCACCGGAAGGAGACCTCAAGGAAGACCCAGGACATGCTGGAATATGTCTCTCGGCTGGCCTGGGAATGCCTCAGGATCCCCCCGGAGGAGCTGAAGGAAGTGTCTGGGGAGAGGGAAGTCAGGGGATCTCCCCTAAGACCCGGCCCCGGAAAAGTGGTAGAAAATGAATGAATGAATGAATGAATAAATGAATGAATGAATGAATGAATGAATGAATGAATGAATGAATGAATGAATGAATGAATGAATGAACATTTGAAAATTACCAATGACAATTATATTTACATCTGGCCCATTACCCTCAATCAAGTTTGGTTTTTGGTCCTGCATAAGGAAAATTTTGGGCACCACTGATTTAGAGTGTGAGCTAATGAAAGATGTGAAAATGTGGAGATGGAAAATGAATTAGTTGTTCTTGGCGTTTTTTTTTTTTTTTTTTGAGAGGGGGGTGTTTTATTGAGAAATTTAGTTATATCTATAATCCCTCTTTGTTCACACATTTAGGGGAGTATCGTGGGGGTTAGTGGAGTCTAAAAAATGCATGCACAGGTATTTCCAATTATGCATTGCGAAACAGATGGCAAATGAAGATGATTGAACATTAAAACAACAGTAGCTCATGCGACTCGCTATAAAAGACAACAAAAATTACCAAGTTCATACATAACTTACATTTCGTGTGTGAAAGCGAGTCTCCTCTTGCGGAGAGAGTGTCCCCTGAAAGCTGCTCGTATTTTATCCACTCTGAGGTGATGGAGGGATATGCCTGGAGGAGAGAAATGAAAAGGATCCGAGTGAAAATTAAATGGCTCCGTCTGGCAGTCAGCTCAGCGGGGGCCTGGGGTTAATCAGAGGGGGTGAGAAAGAGAGAGAAAGAGAGAGAGAGAGAAACACTAGGAAAGAGGACAGTAATGCAGACAGACTGGAAAGCATCAGAGAGGCAGAAACAGAGCAAGAGGAGAGACTAAGAGAGCAGCGAGTGTGAGACACCGAGTCAAAAACAGACAGAAAGATTCATCAGGATGGAAAGACACAGGGACAGGAGGCATGTTTAGAGAGGCTAGGCTGCCCTCGGAGACCTTTTGAACCTTCCACAGTGGGTCTGTCTGTGAGTCAGAGCTGTGTGTGTGTGAGTGTGTGTATGCCTGTGAAAAAGCAGGTGCGAGGATGTGCAAGTTCACTCTCTGTGGTCTCAGTCTCTATGGAGTCTGACCATAGAAACTCATAAAGTCCTGAAACAACCTGGAATCTTAATTAACTATATACTTAAAGTTATTTGGCTTTATTTAATGCGAGCACTATAACACTTCTTTTATAGAGAAAAAGTGAAATTCAAATTCTGATCTAAAGCAGCTTTAAGACTGTGTTGGTTCAGATCAGATCAATAATGGTGCTTTCACACTTGGTTCAATTGCCCCCAGCCCCCCACCCCATTAAAAATATATAGTTTAAAGGGTCTAATAATTTTGACCTTAAAATGTTATTTTTGTTTACAATAAAAACTGCTTTTATCCTAGCCGGGAAAAAAAACAAATACTATCTCCAGAAGAAAAAAATATTACTAAACAGTGTGAAAACGTCCTTGCTCTTTTGAACATCATTTGGGAAATCTTTAAAAAAGAAAAAAAAAATTAAAGTGGGGCTAATAATTCTGACTTCAGCTGTGCATAAATATAGTTACTTTACATCTTATCCTCCCCACACCCCACTTAAAATGAGAAGTTTACTGTAATTATTTTCCTCTGAAATATTGTCCTATTTCAAATCCATTTTACAATGAAAGTTCAGCTTGTGTCCATGTGCCTTACTACGACAGTGTGCTAATCTACATCTGAGAAGCCACATCTAATGAAGGCTAAATGTCTTCAATGTGATGCATATAGAAAGTTCCGCTGAATAGTCAGAAGCCATTATCAGCAGTTTAACTCCACACAGGCTTGTGAAGTCAATTATGCTGCATATTATATGCAACTGAAAGCACCCATTCAGCTTTAAATACTTACAGTGTCTATGAAAGAGCTGTGCAAATACAGTAATGTCTATTGGCCTAATATACTGTAGGAATATGGGTCAATCGCCATGAAGAAGCTCTCAAAACGCTGTTGGAGGCCTCCAGAGAGGAAAACCGCATCACCTGAAGAGACAAGTCACTTTTTTAAAAAGCGATTTCTAGCTCTGCATCAAGGCTTTTTGGTGAAGAAATTAAGGAAAGTTGTTTCTTAACTGCCTTAAAACTTTGGCTGAGGAGTGCTCTACATTTCCAAAAGAAAAGCAATTTCACGCTTCATTCCAAGATCCAACACCACCTTATTGGAATTAACACTATTGCACATCAAGACTTGAAAACTTCGTTAGTGCACTAAAACTCCTTAATTATCAGTTTGATAACACACCATGTTAACAAACCTCCCATGATAATATCTTCAACAGTTTCACCAAATACCTTAATTGCCCGCAGAAACAACATTTATTCAACAAGTAGTCTATTTAATTTTAAATCCAGGGTAAGTACCTAGGGGTATTTGGAATCCTGTGAATTCTAGAAGTCCTTGCACAGACATTACAGACTAAATATTCTGGTATTTTATAGAGAAAATGTCAAACCCAACAGTTATGGATTTCAGTATACTTAGCATTAATATTTTACATCAATTAAATCTTAGGTTCTGGTTACAAGAGCAACTCTCTGTAGGCAATTTTGGAGGAAGAGGTTTCCCAGCAGGTGGTAAAATCGTGTCGGATCCTGTTCGCGTTCATCTGTTGGAGTTTGAACTCAAGCCATTGGGAAAAGGGTATTATCGCTGAATAGTTAATCGCTGTACTCTACTGCCCTCTGGTGTATTCAGATAAACCTACAAAACGTGGTCCGAGGGAAAACAAATAAGTGTTGAGGATTTGGGACATTGATCAGAGTGGCATAACAAACGTAGAGGCCTCAGGTTTTCAAAAATGTAAAAGAAGGTATGATGTTTAATGTTTTTTTTAGAAAAAAATGTTGACAGACTCGATCTGTTTTCAAGACAGCATCTATTCAATTCAATTCATCTTTATTTCTAGCGCTTTTACAATGTAGATCGTCAAAACAGCTCAACTGACATTTTAACTGTGTCAGTCCAGTTTTCAGAGTTCAAGTTCAATTCGGTTCAGTTCAGTGTGGTTTAATTTTCACTGCTGAAAGTCCAAACACTGAAAAGCAGATCCATCCATATTCCTAATTATAAGCCACTGAGCTAATACACTTTGAATAAATGGTGTCAAAGACATTGAATTACATTCATATAAAGTCGTATCATCTATATGTGTGTTCATGTTCAATCTAAATGAACTAGCTTTTCAATGATATACCTTGCAGAAACGCTTCAATTATTACAGATCTGAAAATCAGCATCATGTTGCCTTCACTCTGAATAGGATTTAATGAATGAATGTACTCATTTTACAAGCCTATGCATCATCCCCACTAGATGGCAGTCATTATTCACAAATACAATGCCACAGAATTACAGCTAGAATAGAATAGAATAGAATAGAATAGAATAGAATAGAATAGAATAGAATAGAAGTATGTATTGATAAAAAGGGGCAACACTCACATACTCCACTATATTTCCATATATTTCTCATCATATTTTCTAATTTTTATGAAATAACTAATGTTGAGGTGCATTTATAAAGATCTAAGTTGCTGATGTCTTGGTTTGATTTAAATGAACTTGATTTATATATATAAATACATATTTACAAACTTTTGCCTAATTTTTACTCTTCTCTCTCACACAAAAAGTTTACAAGTTGCCAAAATTCATAGACAAGTTGCCTAACTTGATTTACTTGTACAACTGGTACAGTGATTAAATCATTAAATTGTTTTGTTGTTGTTTTCCATAGTAAGAGATAACTGTACAAATATGATGTTTGCTCAGTTGAAAAATGCTGATATTGTGAATGCTTAACAGTTTTTTAAAGCTGTGCACTTCGTATGTCTTGTCTTCACATGCTGAATGCACGTTGCACTACAGTGACATACAGTATACACAGTATTTCACACTGACAAACATATTGTAAATACAAAATATTGGCTTGGTGTATTGTATTTTTATTTGCCTAAATTTGTATAAAAAATAAATTAAAATTTTTATAAATATACATTTATTTATTTATTGCATGCTTACTTTAAGGATCATTTTATCTCATCTCATTTTTTTATTGTTTATAGTCATCTTGAGACTCATAATGTGTCTCTGTAAATGCTGGTTGAGCACCACAGGAGTACCAATGAGGTCTTGTTCTCAGGCTTTTAAAATTTAAATATTGTACTGTAGGAGTTACAAAGGCCTATTGTTGTTGTTGTTGTTATTGTTGTTGTTGTTGTTGTTGTTGTGTATTGGATGTCTAGATTAATAGAATATGGGCTACATTTTTAATTGCTAATAAATTAATTAATTAATGTAATATGCGATTAACTATAATATTTTAAGTTTATGATATGCTTAAACTGCCTAAATAAAATTGATGAACGGTATTTGAACCCTGAATTTGGTCAAAATATCCAACATTTAAGCGGCTCTCACCAATGGACTTGAAATACAATTACTGTGTTATAACGGTGTGTTGTAAAAGCACCGTCGGTTATAATGTCTGGAAGGCAGCGGTTTTATAATAACGTGGTCGTTGAACTTGTGTCGCGTCGCGCGCTCGTCGACACGGTGTTCAGCTAAATGTCTTTCCACATCAAAGGGGAAACACACAAGTTTCAACAGTTCAGCGGTGGGAGGCTGCCAAAGCTTAAAAGGCTCATTCGCCTCCAATGCACCAAAGCAAACAAACACTCTTGCCCTCGGAAGTTGCATATTTCCATAAACTGCTCTATGGATAAAAAGCGTGCCTGAGTGCAGTCGGAACTGTTTGCGATTAAGCTCGATATGTCTGAAAATAAGCTTTTTTGCGCAATAGTTTTCTTAACTTCACTCTTCTGCTCGACATGCTCACAGGGGACACGGTTTGTTCATTCAGCTGCTCTGGATGCGGAGAGGAGATACAACATTAAGTGGGGATTTGACGAGTCCACGATAACTTTTGAGGTAGAAGTGGAAACGAGGGGGTATGTGGGATTCGGTTTGTCACCCACCGGTGCGATGTCTTCGTCTGATATCGTTATAGGCGGTGTGCTCAACGGAAGCCCATATCTGCTGGTAAGCGTGCGCACACACCTTTGCCTGCCAACGCATCTCTCGTTTAATTGTAAAGTGGGCTGTGTACAGTTTAGACTGTCCCAGTATACAATTGTTGTTTTTTATATTTGTTGTGTTGGATTATTGCAATTTTAACTACGGGAATGAAGTTTATTTGCCTTGCTTTTTCTTTCAAAATAAAAAGTGTTTATGGATTTGTGATGTACACATTCCAAAGTTTTAAACAGCCTAAGAAAAAAAATAAGATAAAGATTGAGATGACGTCTTTGCCTCTATCTACAACCATATCTACTGGTTATAATGAATGAATGACAATTAAAAGTAAACTTTATTTTTAAAGTGGGGAGAGGGCAAACATTAGCATTACCTTATTCAACTTATTTAAACATATTGTTTGCATAATATGTGTTTTTTTTAACATAACAGTTATACACATCATAAACAGCTGATAATTAGTTTGGATTGGCAAATAAAATTAATTAAAAAAAATGAAAACACACAACTTGCATAATATAATATTGCATCTTAATATATAACATAATATTTCATCACATGGCCTATACTTTACTTTAAATAAAATGTACAGTACTTACTAATTTATTACTTCAAATGGGAGTCTTATACCTATTAGTCATATAATATAGTCCAAAGCTTTTATTTTCATATGCATATTTTTGCCTTCCATAAATCACATTACAAAATAGAGCTAAAAACATATGCAAGTAATAATATTTCAGTATGTAATACTGCAGTGTAGTACATACATTCAATCTAAATGTATTGAAACATTAATTACATTTCAAAATTGTGAGCAACTCTAAAGTCCCCTGTCTGATGATTTAAATATAGCTTTTTGTGTCCTGAAATCTGTTGTAATGGACAATGACCCACTGACCTGACTGCATACGGCTGACCCTGGATTATATTCAGACAGCACAACACTGTTTCAGAAGAAAGCAGGGCAATGTTTAAACATATTCACACACACCTGCTGGCCACATTCTCTGCTCATTATAATCCCCATCCAGCTGTTGGAAATATACAGCAGTCATAGATGTTTACTGTTAGTATTCAGCACTGTTCATTAGCAATCTTTAATAAAACCTCCTTGACACTATATCTTGCTGTTTTAGTTTTGTACGCATAAATGATGACACATTGTGTTCTAAAACATACTGTATGCATTACAAATGTGTATTGAAAAAAAATAGGCCATTTGTCGATGCAGCTGACCAAACAATTTGATCAAAGATTATTAAATGTGACCACATGCAGACAAAAACCAATACGATTTACTCATGATCCATCAAAACACACTTAAAGGATTCCAACCTGAAATCTACGCTCTAGATCTACACCATAGATCACACCAAACTTTGTTTCTTCTCACTTTGCTCAGGACTACTTTACAGATTCTAACAGAAAGGTCCATAGAGATCCACTCCAGAACTACGAGCTGCTATACGGCAGAGAGAATGACACACATACAGTCCTGGCTTTCAGCAGAAACCTCCAGACCTGCGATGACAATGACAAAATCATCACGGTAGGTTTGACTAGATGCATCATTCTTTGGCTCCAGAACTCTGAGAGAAACAGCTTTCGGTGACAGGGTTTCTTTATTCAATTTTTTGATTGTGTACCAAACCAAAGAATTATCTATTTTTTTAACTTGTCTCTCAGATTTAATTACAATTTCAGCACACCGCAGTTCATCCAGGGGGAAACAATTGTACATACAGTTTTATTGACAGGATAAAGTGACCATGAAATCAAAATAGGGGTTATGTGCAGCAAAGTTCTGTACTCGGTAAAACCTTATGCTTGTGTTAATAATTTAAAGGGACTGTTCATTCAGACATGCTCTTTAGCTTTTATAAATTCACTGTAAACCATGGCTACATGTAGCTTTATGCATGTGAGCATTAAAAAAAAAAAACATACAGTCAAAACAACATCAATGATTTTGGTTCCTTAAACATTGAGGTGTAATGAAGCAAAGCAGAAAGTTTTTTTTTTTTTTTTTTTTTTAACATAGTTGCCTTTAATCCACAGTCTCAGTAAACAATCCTACTTTCATCACAGTCTGGAGCATGAGCTTAATGTCACATAATGACATATTCAAACACTGGAAATCGAAAACAAAAAATAATCACGTGCACATATTATGCAAGACGAAGCTCCCTCTCCAGACATGAACATGTTCAGGACTGTTTGTCATGGCTGTGGATTAAAGGTAACAGTTAAAATTGCACCGACTGATCATTTTCCTCAGGACCTCAGTGTGTTGCCAAGGGACACAAGAGTTAATTTTGTTTTGCCTGCATATGTTTTCTTGACTCTCAAAATGCAGGAAGCTGAATTGCATTATGAATCACCAATAACCACAAGCTAAAATATTCTCTAATTGAAGAAAAAAGACACAAATTGGTGTTCTTTATGTTAAATATGTAAATTAACATTAGCTTTTTTGTAAAAATGACCAACAATCTTAAATGAATAGTAACATTATGTTTATCCTTCACATTAAAGCAGATAAACACACAGTCTTGTCTTTGGTCGGATTTTCATGTTCTTCTTTGCTTTAAATTAAAGTTTGTAATTATTCACTTCATGTTTGGTTCATGACTTATAACCAGTGTTGGGGAAGATACTTCAGAAAGTAATGCATTACAATATTGAGTCACCCACCAAAAAAGTTACTAGTTGCATTACTTAGTTACTTTTTATGGTAAATGGTAAGTAATGCGTTACATTACTTTTAAGTTAATTTTGCGTTACTTTTTGCGTTACTCTGACTGAGGCTTAATCTCTTTCAGAACTTGCTGGGCTTTTACAATTAACAACACACTGTATAACCTTCATTTATCTTAAAAAAAAAAACATAAAAAAATAATTTAGGATAATGTTATCTTCTAAGAACTTCCTCAGCCCAGAGCTATACATGCCATATATACAGATTAATGATAGTTTAAAGCAATGTGTTTGCTAATTTTGTACTTTTTGTCTTGTTTCAAAAAAGTAAAGTCACTGTTCATTCAGATAACCATTTTTTTGTTTTCTTCCATGTGTTCAAAATAATGAAAATATTTCCATTGCAGAAATGTAAGGCTCTGCCATCATCCTTTCTGTCTGTTCCTGCATTCTCTCATTGCATGTTGTATTCAATGTGACTACGTTCATTTTAAATTCAAGAGTTTGTTTTTTTTAAAGCGAACTTAACTTAAAAGTAATTAACATTTTTTTTAAATAACAAAAAATGTTTTTACTTGTTACCTAGAAAAGTAATATTATCACACTTGCATTATAAATGACTTATGTATTATATATTATATAACACGCGTTACTTGTAATGTGTTATCCCCAACACTGCTTATAACACTTTAATGAAGTCACAATGGAAAATGATTTCATAATCAAAAAATGCGAGGTTTCATCAGGACAATATAATGTCTCGTGGTACTTTTCTCTAGTATGAGAAACCATTTCAACAGTTGAACAAAATTATTAGTCCTTCTTTGAAATTTGAATTCTTTTTCAAATATTTCCCAAGTTATGATTAAAAGACCAAGATAACCAACTTATTATTTTAAGGTCAATATTATTATCTCAATAATAATAATAATAATAATAATAATAATAATAATAATAATAATAATAATAATAATTCCTTACATTTATGTAGCGCTTCTGAACACTCAAAGCGCTTTACACTTTGGGAGGAATCTCCTCATCCACCACCAGTGTGCAGCCTCCACCTGGATGATGCGAAAGCAGCCATATTGCACCAGACCACACACCAGCTGATTGGTGGAGAGGAGACAGAGTGATAAAACCAATTATGATATGGGGATGGTTAGGAGGCCATGATGGACAGAGGCCAGTCGGCAAATTTGCCAGTGGGGATTTTTAATGACCACAGAGAGTCAGGACCTCAATTTAATGTCTTTTCCAAAAGACAGCGCTCACTGAGTTGTCCAATGACTTGCCTAAGTGACCTAACTTGTAACCTAAATAAATTTGTTAGGACCTTTAATTGTACTTTAGGCTGAATACTAGTATCTTGCAAAATAACTAGTAAAATATTATGTACAGCACTACGATCATGTCAATGACAAAAGAAATTAGTTAATTGTAAGTATGTGGGAAATGTTTAAAAAGTATTAGAGTTTCACAGGAGCTAATCATTTTGTCTTCAGCTGTATTTGCCGCAATCAAAAAGACTATTAAAGCTTCCGTTTCATGTCTCTCTAATATAAACTCAGTTTCCCAACATGTTGTCAGATGATTACTTAAGTGTACAATTACCCATAATTGGTCACTGCTCAGGGCAGTACAGTGAGAGTGATCTGGGCGTTCCATACGGAGGACGTGGGAGAGTCAGGACTGGTCTACCATGGGATGAACAGAGGCAGAAAGAGTCTGCGATTACTCAACCCTGGAACCGGCTCCAGCATCCCAGCAGGAACAGCTTTCTTTGACCTTCAAAACAAGGAGGTAAAGAAAGAGCATGGGCAGACTGCTGGAGCGCAGACTGCCAGAGAACAGCTTAGCGTTAGGCAGTCTTGTACCTACTGTTTTGTCTATTTTCTTGCACGCTTAAAAATCAAGGTCCTTAATGTCAAGCTTTTGGGTGTTTTCTTACATATAAATCATTGTAAATGCAAACCCTGTTGCCTCCCGATTGGGTATTTTCAATGAAAACAAGGCCTCTTTTATGCCTGTGGGGCACTGCCAAACACTAGGTTTTATAAGAGTGTACATATTTACAACCTCATAACAAATGCTCCACAATGAATGGGGAAAAAACAGGAAATGGGATTAATGAGAAGCTGGAAGTCTACACTATGCAGTCCACAATGAATTACTGCTGCTGGTTGCGGTCTGTCTGCCGTGTGATGTTTGTTTCTTACCGTATTCAAATATTGCAGGTTCCTGTTCCTCATAAGGACACGACGTACTGGTGTCAGATCTTTCGATTTCCAGAGATGAAGAAAAAGCATCATGTAATCAGAGTGAGTAATAAAACCATTTGGTTTGTAAAAGTAGGCCAGTCTGATAAAATCATAATTGTTTATTAGTCTGAAAGTTTTGCTAGAGTTTATCAAACAGAGAAGTAAAATTAGGTTTAATAAAATCTGACGCTTACACCATTGTGCTGTAGATGCTTAGAGCTCATTTCAATAACAAGGCAAATTAGAGTCCCCAATCCTATAAAAGTGCAGATTGTATTGTTTTCCAAGTGATCAACTGACAGTGAGCAAATTAAATGCAACACACAAAGCAGCACAAATTGGGGCACAAACAAGCAGCGCTGATGATAATCTGCGTTGTGTATAGACTACTAAAGACAAAGGTGAAATGGTCAGGGTGTTTTAATGGCTCCTGATGATCCATTGACAGTTATCGCAGACAGCTAGCTCTCTGCAACTCTCACATTCAGTAAGTGCTGTCTTCTGGATGAGACATTAAAACCGAGGTCCTGACTCTCTCTGTGGTCAATAAAAATCCCAGGATGCTCTTCGAAAAAGAGTAGGGGCTATATTTTGACAATCTAAGCGCAAAGTGCAAAGCATTAGGTGTGTGTCAGAATCCACATTTGCTATTTTAAAGATGGAAAAATCCACTCTGCGCCACGGCGCATGGTCTAACAGGGTTGAGCTTATTCTCTTAGGGCCTACTCACAGTATGCTATCCGAACTGTGCCCAGGCCCGTTTCCTGGATTGTTTGAGAACTGTTTGTGCTCTGAATCGGGCTCATCGAGCGCGGTTCTTTAGGCTTTGGTTTGGTACACTTGTGTTTGAGTCCAAAATGCGACTAAGCCCGAAACTGTAAGCAAGACTTTTAAGGGACTGTTTCACATGGATTTATCAACCATTCGTACTGTTCAGTGAACACAAACTTTCGTTGTTTATTAAGGACTAAAACCCCTCACTGCATGACAGCTGCACCTTCAGCAAACCTCCTGATTCCTGCAGCATGAGGACTTTATGGTTGTTTATGAGCATCAAAAGTGGCTGATCTGTTCAGTGTAATATTTGACTGCGTGTCACTGCATATCACACAACTTAAACGATATAACTGAAGAAATCTCCGCTGTGCTGATTGAGAGCGCTTACCAAACATCGCAGTATCGATGACATTGCCCAGGCCCGAATGTAATGTAAGTGCGAGCCATCGGCGGAGACGGGAAGTGGGACAAGTGTGCTTTGGGCCGGTTCAAGTTAACTGTACATAGTGTGAGTACGCCCTGTTATAAATGTGTTTTGAGAATAAACCAATCAGAGTCTCATCTCCCATTCCCTTTAAGAGTCAGCTGCTTCACGCCATAGCGCATTTGCTATTTATGGCCGACTTTGTCAGTGGAAAAACTGAATGCTTCTCTAGAGAGAAAACAGTTAAACAGAGCATCTACAACACGAGAATGAGAGATGAGCCTACTCATTCTTTACTTTTATTTTCACTCTCGTGGAAAGGGAAACATGTTGTACGCATAGACATCCATTAGCTTATAAATAAATAACTCCGCTTATTAGGAGCAAAGATTTGTGTCAAAACTATTTCTAAATTTAGTTCTAATTTCCAGCAAACTAATAAATAAAAAACGGAGTTATATCCAAATACGCATGCTGTGCCCCATATGGTCTAAAACCTGACAGGTAGGCAAACCTAAGCTTGTTTTTAATAAAACAAATATACATATGCATATAATAAATAATACTGCTAATAATAATAACATTATACAAAACCAAATTGTCATGAATAAACTAAAAAAGCCCCCGAGATGAAGTAGCCATGGAGGTGGTGGTTTTTATATTTATATAGGCTAGAAAATAATATTTTTTGTAATATTTTAATCCTTTAATTCTTTTTAATTTGTAAATTCTTTTCATTTCACTCGTTTTGCGTATTGCTGTACATCCTGTGTATTAAGCAATGTTTAAGCGAGAAGCGCAACTAACATGCTCTGCGCTGGACTTTAGACCTCCTCCAAGCTGGTCTATTGAACAGACTATTTTAGTTCCTCAAAATAGCAACGCGCCAACAATGCCCCTAAACATGCCTCCTTTTTTAGTCCAGAACGGCTATGGGTGCACATATGAGCGCAAATGCATTTGTTATTTAAATAGCGTGGTGCAACACGTCAGAATGACTATTGCGCCAAGCTGAAACTAGCAAACAACAACTGTGTCACGCCTTGTGCTGCATTGCGCTGGGTGTATGATAGGGCCCTAGGTGTTTAACCCAGGCTTTTTGGCTAAATTTGCCCACTGGACTCTGTCCATCATGGCCTCCTAACCATACCCATATCATATTTGGCTTCACTCAGTTTCTAATCAGCTTGAGTGCTGTCTGGCGCAATATGGCTGCCATTGCATCATACAGGTGGATGCTGCACACTGGAGATGGATGAGGAGATTCCACCAAAGAATGTGTAAAGCGCTCTAAGTGTCCATAAAAGCGCTACATAATTGTAAGGAATTATTATTATTATTATTATTATTATTAATCCACACTTTTATTGTACTTGCTGAAGCTGTGGTTTAAATGTGATCATTTTGAAAATAATCCTCAGTTTCTCGTTAGACCTCAAAAGTATAATCAAGAGGAATTTATTTTGACAACCAAAGATTGTTGAAATGTATTTTATGAGTCACTAAAAGGTTCAACTAAATATATTTAATGTTATTCTTAAATAAAAATTGCCTACATTTTGGATGGCCTTTAAGGGTGAGTGAATTAAAAGCAAATTATTATTATTATTTTTTTTAAACAAAGCCTTTAATTTTTATCTCAATGAACAGTGTACACAGATTTGGTTCTGTTTGTGATGATACAGTGGCTATATACAGCCATAAAGCCATATCACCCTGCAGCCCAAGAATGGTTACTCGCTGAAGCTAAGCAGGGCTGAGCTTGGTCAGTACCTGGATGGGAGACCATGTGGGAAAACTAGGTTGATGTTGGTAGTGGTGTTAGTGAGGCCAGCAGGGGACGCTCACCCTGCAGTCTGTGTAAGTCCTGATTCCCAGTAAAGTAAAGGGGACACTAAACTGTCAGTGGGTGCCGTCTTTTGTATGAGACGTTAAACTGAGGTCCTGACTCTCCGTGGTCATTAAAAAATCCCATGGCACTTCTCATAAAAGAGTAGAGGTGTATCCCCGGTGTCTTGGCCAAATTCCCTCCTTCTGCCCTTACGATCATGGCCTCCCAATCATCCCCATCCACCAAATTGGCTGTATCACTGTCTCGCTTTAGGTGTATTGCCATACCAGATAAATGCACTATATAAATACAAATTACTTACATTTTTAACTAGTTTTTTGCTATTGTTTAAAATTAGGGTCCACAAAAGTATTGTTTTTGATAATAGGCTCACATCTGTTGTTTTTACATTGGTTATTTTTGCTGTGTTATCTTATGCATCCGTTTTTATCTCTGTATTCAGTCTCTTTGTCTTCCTCTGCTTCTATTTTATCTCTCTCCTGCTTATTATTGTCTTTTGCAGCTGCTATTTTTGTAGATCAGACACGTTACTGAAATTACACTCTCTGACCCAGATGAAAGAGTCTTCCCGTAACTAAGCTTTTCAAGTTTTCTTAATTAGAGGCAGAATAGATACTTTAATCATATGATAAAATGCTACAATTAAGCTTCCTCCTTTCAGGCTAATTTTTTTAGATGCACTAACCTTTAATTTAATGTAATTGTCGCAGTCACCAGTTTGTGTCTATGTAAAATTCAGCTGTGGAAAGACAGGCACGCATTTCATCTCCATGAATTCATCACTATGGCTACAGCTCCACATTTTTAGCAAAAACATAAGCGGCGCACATGCAGGAGTGAGCAGCTCACGGTATGAATGTGGCCTATTTATTCTGCTGCAGTGTTGGGCATGTACAGTAGTTTAGTGGATACAAAGAATCCACAGTGAATAGATTTGTGCGAGGTTTGCGATTTAGAGGATGATGAAACAGACAGACATGCTGACTTTCACCAGTCAGAAAAAAGATTATTCTGGAATTTTAACAAAGTTTTTTTTTTTTTTTCTGCTAAATAAAAATGTCTTTCTTAGTATTTTTTTTATTATTGTTTTCAGTACACATTTAAACATATTTTAGATCTAAAATGACAGAAGGCATTAAAGGTGCATTAAGCAAATTATTTTCGTTCTAAATGATGTTTGACAGTTAAAAGCATCAAAACAGACACACCCATAACACAAAACCACACCCCTTTTTGATAACTCTGCTTTCATTACTAGACCTGCCTTATACTGCTGATTGGCTGCAAGTGTGTTTTGGAACTGACTCAATGGTCAAAGTGGTTTTCAAGTCAGGCTTGATGCACCTTTAAGTCTTGTTTTTCTTGTTTTAAAGAATTTCAACCAACCTTGAAAACAAGACTTCTTTTTCATTTACTGTTAATATGTCTTGATTAGATTATGATGAGATCAGAATTATTAAAGTTGTAGGTTTAGTGTTTCTATTTAATTTCAGTTAAAGGTCTATTAATATATTGGTTTGTTTTAATTGCAGTCAGTTTAAGTTAATTAGAAATATTACAAACTGTGGAAATAAAACTAAAATAAAAACTAAAACTGGAAATAAAATTGTGTATTAATTCTGAAAGCTTAAAAATCTACCTTCATTATACAAAATTATTTATTAAGAAACTACATTAAGATTTTTACTGTAACATTTTACAGTCATTTTTACAGTTAAAATCAGCCAATGTACAGTAACTAGCTAGTGCAGTCTAACAAAATGATAATTTATATAATAATTTATACAAATTGCTTGGATACTAAATGGATCAAGTTTGACTTAGTAAGCTCCCTTTAAGCTTTTACTAATACTAATATCAACTGAACACAGAGGGGAAAAAAGCATGTGAATAACTGTTGTGTGACCCCTGTGCGCCCTCTTTTCCTGTCCTCTCCAACATGCAGTACAGTGGTCTGGTATTTGTGTTCATCAGATGCCAGCAGCTGCCCTACAACCACAGCTGTGTCTGAATGCTTCACAAAGCAGATGTGGAGCTGTCAAAGAACAGCAGATTTTCCAGACACTGTGCTCTCACTGTCTATATTCAGCCTTTATTGTCACTGTCCTTACTAGTTGAAACCTCACGCTATGTGATGGCAGAAGACACTGCTACTGTATGTGACTAGTGTGCTATATGCAATATGGGGCTACTGAGATCCCAAAACATTGCAAAAATGATGCAATTTTAACTGTAAAAGCTAAAAAATTGGCTGATTTTCTGGTATCTATGACAAACAATTTATCATATTACCCTATTGAGACATTTCTGAACAACTTTAAGCGGTATCATTGACTTTTAAAAGCGCTTACCTAAATAAAATTAATCTTTTATAGCATATATAAGTTATGCCATGCTCATAAAACCAAATTCCTCAATATATTTACCATATTAAAATTACAGAATTGCCATAATAGCATTTATACATTGTAAGTTTAATTAATTAATAAAAATTTAATTAAAATTTCCTTTGTCTTTATCATGGTGGCAGTACATAATATTTTACTGGTTATTTTACAAGATAATAGTATAAAAATTAAATAATATTAATATTAAATATAGCTAATAACATTATCCCCCCCCCCCCCCCCCCCCCCCCCCAAAAAAAAAAATTTATCTGCTTTTATTTCAGCTAAACAGAACAAAAAACAAAAAGAAAGAGAAAATGTGGTTAACATTTTCTTGCTTCACAATATGCTTCATTCATTATGAATCTGTGATGGATCAAACATACTAAGGACGAGTGTTTATCCTATACAATAAAGCTACATGGTCATTAGATATTGGGGCCTTAAAACATGAGATGGAAGATGGAAGGTGGAAGTGAGAGGTGGAGAAGAGGAGGTGGAAGGAAAATAAAGGAATGTTAGAATATTTATTTAGCCACTGTTTAGCCCGGGGTCCCACTGCTTCAGGCCGAGGCCTCTGGAAGAGCAGGACACAGTTCACTCTGCTGGAAATGCTTTTATTTAGAATTCCAGATCTGACAGAAGAAGCCTACTGTGAGGAGGAAATAATGCTCATATCTCCAACTTCCTACTCCAAAGATATTCCACACTCAAAATAGCGTTTAAAAAAAGATAACCAACTTTTATCAAATCTCTATGACTGATCCCTTTATCAAAGCTTAGAAATGTATACTGTATCTAGTGGAAAAAAATTGGGTTATAGAAAAGAGCTTTTGCTAGCTTTTGTTTGTGTCATTGCAATTAAAATGGCTTCTTTATTTAAATTGTAGTAGTATTTCACTATAGTACAGTGTTTTCATAGCTGCAGCACTGGGAAGCATAAGATACTTCTTTAAATATTTCAGATTTGAAAATTAGCACATTTTGCTCTATCCGGAAGGTAGTTAATATAATATTATAATCGGAGGTGTGGACAAATTGAAAATATTTAATAATTAATAATAAACTGGTGTAAACAAAAGAATTTACCTAATTTTGTTACAAGTATACAGTATACTAATTTGAAATAATCATGTCTTTTCATTTTCTGTTAAAAATGTTAGTTTAGCATGATCAAAATATTCACTAGCCATTAAAAGAAAAAGCTCAATTTTAATTTTAATTATTTTAGTCCACCAAATTTAGGACATATACAGTAAAACATGCTGTTTTCCACTCAATTCCTTCATGTTGGCCCCACACATATTGATTAAGTTAACTTAATTATTTTTACAAATCTAAGTGGATTGAACATAAAACAACCAAGTTGCCCCCCCCCCTCCCCCATTCAAAAAAAAAACAAACTCAATAGTTCTGTTGATTCAGCCCATTAAAAAAAGTTTGAACAAGTAAAGTCATTTTTGTGTGTATATATATTGACATTAATGATATAATTTTCTTATTCAGTCTATATAACTACTACATTAGTCTTTCATAATTCTGTTTTTTTATTTTTTTTATTGCTATGTGTAACTGGCATTTTTTGCTATTTTACCTATTAATACTTTATATTAAGATCCAAACAATACATTAGCCTCATTTTAAATTCAGAAGCAGAACTGAAAAGGCATTTTCTATTCAATTGTAAGTGGTGCAAAACTCATCTATTCACGTTCCTCTGTATTTGTGTGCTGTTTTCAGATTGAGCCGCTGATTCAGAAGGGTCATGAGAATCTGGTTCATCATATTTTGCTCTACCAGTGCGACAGTAATCTGAACAAGAGTGAGGTCAACAGAGGTCATGAATGCTACCATCCAAATATGCCAGACTCCTTCTTAACTTGTGAAACTGTCCTGTTTGCCTGGGCTATTGGAGGGGAGGTGCTCACTTTAGACTTTCATCATTTTTCTCAATAACGAGAGATTTGCATATTAAAATGAAAATATGTTTATCCATTGCAGGGTTTCACTTATCCTCCGCATGTTGGGATGTCGATAGGAACGTCGATAGACCCAGTCTATGTGCAGCTGGAGATTCACTTTGATAACCCATCTTTACAAGGAGGTACCACATTTTAAAAAATCTGTTCAAACTACTTCTGTAAAATGAGCTTAACACAATTATTGAGATTTCTCAGTACAACTTTTGTTTCATGTTCAATGCACTTAAACTTTTTAAGTTTAAAGTTTTATAATTTAATTTTGTTAGGATGAATATAATAGCACTTGATCAGTTTAAAGTCGCAATTAAATCAAAATGGACAAATATTATTTCAGTGGCACATTATTTTACAGTGGGTGTACTTACTGTGTACTTACATAAGAAAGCAGTAAGTTATGTAAGGGAACTACATGGGTTAAAGTTACAGTAGGTCCAGGTATAGTTTTAGGGATGGCACAGTTTAGGTGATGGATATGATAAGTACACATAAAAAAAGGACTGTAAAATAAAGTGCTACATTTTTAATGGAATTTATTATTTATGACTCATGGACTTATTTATGATGGAGAAAGCAACTGAAAAAGTTTGCACACTTTAAAAAAAAACACAAGTAAGATGCAGTGATTTTAGCAATTTACTAGAAAAAAAGCAAGCATTTTGCTCACATGTTGGTCATTGTCAATGCCAAGTATCACAATGAAGCATTTGTCAGTTCCATTATTCTTTGGGGGGGATTCTTAGTCTAGACAGCTGACTTGATTGGTTTAAAGGTGCTGTGTGAGTCTTTGGTTGATTTTATGAATTAAATATATAATTAAACATATTGTTCAATTTCAAGTGCCCTCAAAAACTTTAATAAGATAATTAACATTGAGTTTGGTTTACAGCACATGATACTACCTCTTTGAGATAGTCAACGTGTGATTCTGCAGATTGTTGGTGTGGACAAGAAATATGTTAAATTGCACATTGCTTTTTAACCAGTCATTATTTCAAACTGTGTATGATTGAGTCAATAATATGAACTAATAACTATAAATAAGAGCGTAAACAAACTGACTACATGGTGTATTTTGGGTGCCTTGTCATCATAAAATCCTCCAAAAAAAACGAAAAGTGGACATTTCATTGTATAATTCCACCCAGCAACACCAATACCTTTGTCTAAGTATCATTTAACGTTGCCATGTTTGAATGCCATGTATAAAACGGCTTCTGTGCTACTTTTGCTAAACATCACAGATTCGACAAACACATGTTGGAGAACTGAGAAAAAACACTTAACATTCTAGTCATTCCATCAAGACATTGTGAAGCACGCCAGACATGGTGTTGGTTGTCATTCACTATGACACACTATCCAACAGGGGTGTTCAAACTCGGTCCTGGAGGGCCAGTGTCCTGCAGATTTTAGCTCCAACTTGCCTCAACACACCTGCATGAATGTTTCAAGAAAACCTTGTAAGTGCTTGATTAGCAAGCCCAGGTGTGTCTAATGAGGTTGGAACTAAAGTTTGCAGAACACCGGACCTCCAGGAGTGAGTTCTGACACCCTATACAACATAAAACAACTGATTCCTGCATCCAAATGGTCAGTGTCGAATCACTAAATCACTCCATATCAAATTAATTATACTGTATGTTCAGTAATTCTTGTAATATATGCTGAACTTTTCTTATTTCCCCACACAAAACAGTTGTGTGTCTCAATTTTCTGTGGATTGCGTTGACCAGTGCTACCCTGACCCTTACAAAGATCTAAACAATGATGGGTTGTTTTAACCAAAAGTTGAGTTAAAGATATAATTTAAGAAACTAACCCAATTGTTGGGTTTGTCCACATTTTAGCCAATATTAAACTCAACACTCGTTTTGGAGTTTAAATATGCAACACTTTAACGAAAAGGCAACGTTCCTATTGTGAAAAAAAAAAAAAAAAAACAGTCACTACAGCAAAATTTCTCCTTTTTTGTTCAGTCATGTTTAAATTTTATGGCCCACCCAAATTAAAATCTCAGATGTCAAAATTATCTCAGAGTTTCCTAGTTGTAAATATTGTACAACTTCAGAAACCTATATTTACAGCACAATAATTTCAATAACACATGACACATGGCAGCATAAAGCCAAGTGATTAACACACAACTACAGAACGTTACGGTTATTTTCTGTGGCTTTCTGTGTTGGTTATTATATTTTATGTATCGACTTATGAAATAATCAGTATAGTCTCAGTGGTATATATTACGGTTATAGTCAGCCAGTCAGTAATGAGCTTGAGCTGCTCTGAGTTTTCGTCTTTCCGCAGGGATAGTGGACAGTTCAGGTCTGCGATTGTACTACAGCCCCAGCCTGAGGCGCTACGATGCTGGAGTCATCGAGACAGGAGTTTGGGTCAGTCTCTACCATATGCTGCCTCCAGGCATGACGGATTACATTACAGAAGGACACTGCACACAGGAGTGTCTTCAGGAGGTGGGATTGTGTATTATGGTACACTCAATTTATAAGATCAGATTTGGCTGCACTACCATTATGAAAGTGTACTTTTGATAAAAATACTCGAGATTGATAACTAAAATGATGAAAAATATAATAGCATGCAGAACAATGGGCGATAATATTCTGTTTATTGTTTGTTGCTTTTGATGCTTGAGTTCATTAAAGTCATGTAGATTCTGGTTATCAATTTGTTTGTTTTTTCAGAAATATATATTTTTGCTAACTTTGAAAAGATTGTGCAAGTTTCTCAACTCATAAAATACCATGTGTATCTGTCTTCCTGTTAGTCATTAGACAGCGAGATGCCCAGCGGAGTTCATGTGTTTGCGGTTCTGCTCCACGCTCACCTGGCAGGACGGGCTATCACAGCCAGACACTTCCGGCAGCAGCTCGAGCTCCAGCCACTGGCCTCAGATGATCAGTTTGATTTCAACTTCCAGGAGTTCCAGCCGCTCAGCCAGGAGAGACTCATCTTGCCTGTCAGTATCCATTTCAGTCTGCGTTGCTCCATCTGAGGGTGAAATTGATGTGTTGCATTAATCATCAGATACAACATGATAGAGTGATTCAAGCAAACCAGTGTGAATACCAGGGAAATTCAATTCCAAGTCTGGAAAATTCATGGAAAAATCAAGGAAGTGGAATGAAACTGAGGGATGAAGTACAGGGTGTTCTATGGCTTGTACCTGGGTGTCAGTTGTGGTTAAACAAAATGTGTTGCTACAAATTTCCTAGCAATGAAAACACGGATTATTACTTCTAGACATGACAGCGCTATATATTGAACAGACTGTGCTTTTATCCTATTTGGGTCAAATTAAATATGCTGTTTACTTCAACTAAAGTATTTACACTGTTACACTGGCCCAGAGTTTATAGCTAAGGGATTGGTAGTGTTTTAGGAGTAAATAATAGAGCAATTATCATTATCTGCTCCAGTGTCTCAGCCATATAAGAGCACTTTGCATTACCTGGGGGTAGAGCTGCATGATTAACCGTTAAAAGATTGCCATCTCAACTCAAACACCCACTCTGTCTCATTCTTAAATGCAAATGATTCAGCCTTGTCTTTTAAATCTTTGGCATGTAGGATTGCAGCATATTCAAATCTGTTTTTGATCCAGTAAGAGCTGTGGACATATAGTTATGAATAAATTCTTTAGGTTTTCAGCCATATAGCATCATAATATTTTACCAGAAGTGCTGGGATACAATTTAACTGATCTATGAACTGTGGTAGTGATTGAAATAGAGCAAATCACCAAATGCTTCAAATAGGCCTTGTTGACAATGCAGCTAAATTTGGTGTCAGCTTTTAATTGACCTTTTAGTGCTTAATCATGATCTGTGAACACAGTTCAGTAATTCACGTGAGTAACAACCAAAATCAACAACAACAAGAACAAATATTTTTGTAGCCTAAAGTCTTTATTGGTTGTTAAATATGTCATTCAATCATATTTTTAAATACATTGAAATTAAATAAATATTTTAGACATATTGGGAAGCAGTAATGTTTTAAGTTGTCTAATTAGAAGCATTAATCTATATCATGATCAAAATCAAAATTTATTTTAAACAAACAAATAAGTTTAGTGATTTGTGTTGTTCTGAGTGGTGTAATAAATTCAGCATCGACAAGCACAATATTGTGTATGTGTGAGACTGGTGTCTATTTAACAAGGCCCACAGGCGAGAGGTGTGCCTCATGTGTGAGTTCTGACTTGTTTTCCTGTTCTGTTCTCTGATAACAATCAGTGGGGTTTTAACAGTTTATGCTCAAGTGATTGTCAATGGTTTGTACTGTTTGACCTGCCACTAGTAAACATAATAGACAAGTCTTTTATATATATATATAAATCTAAATAACCAACTTGTTTTTCTGTCACCAGGGGGATTCCTTAATCACTGAATGTAGATACAACACTAAAGGCAGAATGAACATGACTTGGGTAAGATAAAATGTTTTTAAAAGCTTTTTTTTTTTTTGACAATTTTATTTTATGTTAATTTTATTCTGACATTTTATTTTATCATGAGGTTAAATCAACAAGCAGTTGACAAATCCTGGATTAGGCAAATGTTTAGTTTAGTAAATGTTATAGAGCTGTTGTTCATACATGATTTGTAGGCCTTTATAAGTCTTGATCTCTGATGTCCTTAACACTGTAATATTATTATATAATGTTATATCTGTTATATAATTATTGTATTATTTTTACAAATTCATAATTTGATGACCAACTTACTGTACAAAAACTGTACTAAAAACCACATTGCTTCCAAAATACATGCAATGAATTATTGAAATAGCATTTTTCTCTCTTCTTCCTAAAGGCAATGAACTGAAATTTCACAATATAAAAATAATTGCAAACGTTGGCGCTAGTGGTGTAGTGGTTAGAGTGTCGACACATGCACTCCAGTGCTTATGGCGACCCGAGTTTGACTCCTGCCTCACGATCCTATGCCAATCCTTCCCCTCTCTCTGCTCCCCCTGGTTTCCTGTCAATACTCTTTACTGTTCTATACAATAAAGGTGAAAACCCCTGTAAAAATAAATTATAATTAATAATCGCAAACGCTTAAATTGCCAGAAAAACAGTTCGACAAAATATTTCTATTTTATTTCCATTTTATAAAATTTTTAAATATTATTAATTATTAAATAGAAAACTGCTGGATGAGGGTGATATAATAAATGACAAAGCATCTTAAAGGGACGGTCCAATGTGATATATTTTAAACTTCAGTTGATGTATAATGTAGCTGTGTGAACATAAACAACATCTCTGAATGTTATGAATCTTTGGTCTTTTGTTTGGGGACTACAAAAAATATATATCCTGGTTAATGAGATCATAAACCCTTCAGGTTATGTGCATACATCCTGCGCAGTGAAGGTGTGTGGCCAGAGGCGCTGTAATGTTATAGCAGAGAAAGCTAAAATGCATCCAAACGGTGCTGTTTCCACAGAGCTTGTTCTGTTTCTGTCTTCGGGCTTCCAAAGGACACGACACAAAGTGAGAAGTGCTTACAGTTTTACTTTAATTATGTTTCAGAGAAAAAAAAATATATGGCTAGCATTTGACAAAGGACAGCTTCCAGAATCTCTCCCAGTTCAGTGCTGGATTCGGCTAAAAACTCCTCAAAGTAGGAGCAGCTCCAACCATAATAGCAGAAGCTGTGGATTGTGAGCCACAACCTGTATTTTTATTTGCAAAATTGTTCAACTACAGGTATAGTTTCTAGCGTTAACGGTATTCTGTAGCAAGGGTGTAAACAAGTATGTAAACAACGGGAAATGCTGTTTGGCATGGTTAACAATTTAGCTTCAAATATTTATCCGTTAAACCCCTGTAAACACATACAATCTTCACCAGATGCGTTCTACATCTCATATAACAAACTCACAAGACATGTGAACATTTCATATTACTTACACTTGCTTATTCCGAATATATGTGAGAGACTTGTCAGATTTTATTTTAGAGAGCAGGCGTGAGGTTCAGCTGTGTCCTGTGTGTCATTTTCTGTTTGATTCAGGCACAAACTGATAGGGCTAAAAGCTTTAACCAGCAATGGCACAGTGAATGCTAGTGACGGGACGATTCCCGGTGACGTAGAGTGGATCCGCGAATCACAGCACATTATGTTAGCTGACCAATCAGAGCCTCTTGCGGTGGGCCTTCCAGAGGAACTAGGAAATATTTAATTTTCATGTTAGCTGAATACTTAAAGTAAGATATATGAAAAAAATAATGTGATTTTTTACAAATGAAGCATAAGCACTCATTGCTTTGCATGTTATAAACACAACCAAGCCTTAAAATACACTCTGGACCACCCCTTTAATCATGTATGTTTGAACAGTTTGAAAACGTTTTTTTCTGAGAAAGGACTGCATTGATTTAATGTTTTGTTGACATTCTTGTTTTCATTTTATCCTTACCTTTTTACAGTGCTTTAATGCTACGTAAAAAAGTTAATTGATTGAATGACTGACTGACTGACTGACTGACTGACTGATTGATTGATTGATTGATTGATTGATTGATTGATTGATTGATTGATTGATTGATTGATTGATTGATTGATTGATTGATTGATCAAAGTTTACATTTTTGAGCACTGTCGAAAAGTTTTGATTGAAAAAAAAACTATTTCACAGCACTAAAATATAAATTGTAAATTATTTTTCCGGTTTTAGGACTAATATCTTGTATATTTTATGTTTAAGTCAGGACAATTATAGAGCGAATGTATCTAATTGGATCTTCACTTGGATCAAAATTCTAAAACTAGACAACTGCACACTAAAATGTTCATTATTTTTCCGGATTTAGGACTATAAATTCAACAGCTCTATTAGATACTCGGCTTTAAATCTGAACAACGGTTTTTCTTTTTTTTTTCCCAGACAGTCTGTGAAAGTCTGTGTGCTCTTGGCTAAACAATGTGTCTGCAAACAGCTGCAGGTCTATGAAGAAGGCTCCAGCTGCTGACGTTTGCCTGTACACATGCAGCCAGTGAGCTGATAGGCTGCCTTTTTTCTCTGTAGACCGTCCACAATCCATAAACATCGAGGCCAAATAACTGGTGTTTTGGATTCATATTAGAGAAATCAAGATATATTTGCTGCTCTGTGCGTGTCGTGTCAGCCCAGCTTTGCTCACTATTGGGCATAATTTGTCACAGGCTGTAATAGTGCTTTGGATGCATTATATCAGCATAGTATTTCAAGGTCTTGACCCAAATAATGTTTCTACAGGGAGGTCTCAGTACACGGGAAGAGATGTGTTTGTCGTTTCTGCTGTACTATCCCAGGGTTAACCTCGCCAAGTGCGAGAGTTTACCAGAAATCGCCGGCCAGCTCAAATTCATTGGGGTTACAGAGATCCAGGAGCCTGTTACGTAAGTCTGAAAAACTACTTCAGCTGCTTTGTTAGTGGCTTTTATACACATATTAACCTCATAATGATGAAGTACATTTATCAAAAATGGCACTGAAGCATGTCTTAAGGCCTGCCATATTGGATACAAAGTTGTGTGTTTTTTATTCATCTGAAACATGTTGCAACTTGAAGTGATTATGATGCAATAATGCAGTCACCTACAGTAAACATCCTGAAATATTATACATCTGAGTGAAAACCTGAAAGTTTGATCTGCTTTTCTGTCATTTTGCATGTCTTTGAACCAAAAAAAGTTTACTTTCTTAAAGGGATAGTTCACCTATTCTAAAAATGCTCACACTCAAGTGGTTTCGAAGCTTTGTGAGTTTCTTTCTTTTGCTGAACACACAAGAGGATATTTTGAAGAATGATGGGGAAAAAGCAGCCATTGATATTCATATTAGGAACAAAAATATACTATGGAAGTTAACGGCTTTCAAACCTTCATTATACACTCACCGGTCACTTTATATGGTACACCTTACTAGTTCCAGGTTGGACCCCCTTTTGTCTTCAGAACTGCCTTAATCCTTTGTGGCATAGATTCAACAAGGTACTGGAAATAGTCCTCAGAGATTTTGGTCCATATTGACATGATAGCATCATGCAGTTGCTTTAGATTTTTGGGCAGCACATCCATGATGCAAATCTCCCGTTCCACCACATCACAAAGGTGCACTATTGGATTGAGCTCGGGTGGCTTTGGAGGCCATTTGAGAACAGCAAACTCATTATCATGGTCAGGAAACCAGTCTGAGATAATTCTTGGTTTATGACATGGCATGTTATCCTGCTGGAAGTAACCATCAGAAAATAGGTAAACAGGGTAATAAAGGGATGGAACAATAGACCATTTTGAGGGATGTAAACAATAACAATGGTCCCAGCGTATTCCCTGTTTTATATATTTTTTTATTTCTAGAGCTTCAGAGAATCCAAAAAGAGCCACATATTAATAAATAATGTTATGATAGCTGTTTTAACATGAAGTTATGATTGAATTGACTCTTGTTACAGTTATAGTTTGATAACAAGCAGGAAATGATGAGATCACCGCATTGAAGTGGTCTATACTCAGATAGGTTGTGGAGTTGAAGTGCCGGATCAGATTTCGGAGGTGCCGGTTCCATATTTGGCTTGTTGCGGCACAAATCCTCCATTCTCCTCTGACCTCTGGCATCAAAAAGGCATTTGCACCAACAAAACTGCTGCTCACTGGACATTTTCTCTTTTTCATACTATTCTCTGTAAACTTTAGAGATGGTTGTGCATGAAAATCCCAGTAGATCAGCAGTTCCTGAAATACTTAGACCAGCCCGTCTGGCACCAACAACCATGCCACATTCAAAATAACTTTTTTCCCCATTCTGATGCTGGGTTTAAATGGCAGCACATCATCTTGACCATGTCTACATGCACTGAGTTGCTGCCATGTGATTGGCTGATTAGAAATTTGCATTAACAAGCAGTAGGATAGGTGTACCTAATAAAATGGTTGGTGAGTGCATAATAGAAGAAAGAAACCAAGTGGAAAGCAAATGAAAGATGAGTAAATGTTGAGAGAATTTTTATTCAGCTCAAATTACAATTTAAAGATTTAACCAGGTTAATTAGTTTAACATGTTCTGTATCCAATCAAAATAATAAATATAAATAATATAAAATAAAATAATAATAATAAAAAAATAATAAAACTTTCTGCGAAAGTACAAATATTAGAGGAAATACTGTGCAAATGCCCTTGCTCTGTTAAACATTACTTGGGAAATATTTTAAAAATTGTAAAAATATGACAGGATGGCTAATAATTAAAACTGAATATATTATGCATTCTTTCATTCATTCATTTTCTTTTCGGATTAGTCCTTTTATTAATCTGGGGTCGCCACAGCGGAATGAATCGCCAACTTATCCAGCATATGTTTTATGCAGCGGTTGCCCTTTCAGCTGCAACCCACCACTGGGAAACTTCCATACACACTCCATCACACACATACACTATGGACGATTTAGCTTACCCAATTCACCTATTCACCTTATTCTTTGCCGACAAGTGGGCGCAGCCATTTGAATCTTTTTGGCTCAAGACTTCCGGTCTCATTCACTTCCATTTATTTTTAGACATTTAAAAAAATGGCTCGTTACGCTGCTTGATGTTGCAAACTGATATTTTCTTATTATATTATTCTAGTTGGTCTATGCAAACATTTGTTTGTAGAGCAAGTTGTTTGACCGTTTCCTGCCGTTTATTATGACTAGTCATTTCTCCCATAGGCGACTGAATCGGAAGCTATAAAACAATCGCGAAAAGAACTTCCGAATTTTAGAATAAGGTCAATAGCACATGTCTTTGGACTTTTATGGTAAACCAGAACACCCGAGGAAACTCATGCGAACACGGGGACAACATGCAAACTCCACACAGAAATGCCAACTGCTCCAGCCGGAGCTCAAACCAGCCACTTTCTTGCTGTGAGGCGATTGTTCTTCCCACTGCTCCACTGTGCTGCCATATATTATACTTTAAAATCTCAAAGGTATTTTTTTCATATTATGGAAACCTAAACATTGTGCAAATGGCACAGGCCAGTGTTCAGGTCAAAAATAAAATGTATACAAGGTTTTAGAACATTAGTGAGTAAAAGTGAATGTTTGAGCTGTAAAAAGGCAGTTTATAAGCGAAAAGAAACTCATATATAAAATAATTAAACAAGATTTGTGGGACATACAGTAATTTATAAAGCAGAACCAGACAATAGAGAGGGAAACAATGTAAAGATAGCTTAAGGGCAAAAAGTCCATTTAAACTGAACAACTTTGAAATACGAGAACTAGTATATCAAAGAGACCTTCTTAATTCAGTAAGACTGGCGTCAGTTTAACAAACACACAATAACTAAACAGCAATTGACTGATGGCCTGCTGCATAATTACATGGTCAAATAAGGATAAATGCTTGGTATAGTTTAAGTACCAATTTTCACTATTATCTAGTGGCTTATAATGACCTGCCTATTATTAAGATATTTCTTTATTAGTTTATTAGTACTTATCAATACATATTTACCATGATCTTAATCTACATCTCTAATCCTACCTAATACCTAAACCCAACCACTACCAACCAAACAGCTTTAAATGCAGATTTTACACCATAGGTGCCCTTTAAAGCTGTTTGGAAAGACATGTGTGTAGGTATAGTGTATAGACTGTCATATCGGAGTGATATAAAAACTCAGTTCTTTTTTTTTTTTTTTTCAAATTTAAACATTTCAACATAAAAACGGCGGACCAATTGGGGCGGTTTTCAGACCGACTGCAACTTGACGTAGCAGGGCGTTCCCCCCGCCCACCAATTTTGATTGACAGCTGTGCGTATTAACTTTTCCCGCTAGTCACTGGATAGTCATATCAACAAGACAGGACATGCGCAAAGCAACCGGGAATAAAAGGTCTGTTCAGTTCGCTAGGATCATAAATCATCATCAAACGTGATCAGGAGTGAGTTTTACAGGTTTAAAATGTTTTAAAACAGAGCACGTGTGCAATGAAGTACAGCGATTCACTTCAAATTCACTTCAGATGCACAGCCGCGTGTCAGAACAATTATAAAAGAAACTGCTTCAATCCCGGTTTGTGTACGTTAAATCAGGTTTATTTTGTACATTAACATAACAGATATCCATATAGCAGTGAAGATCAACCTGTATGCTGTCACATTTGCGTGCAAAAACAGTGCAAAGCTAAATGTGGGTGCTGTGGTGTGTGTGTGTGTGTGTGTGTGTGTGTATGTGTGTGTGTGTGTGTGTGTGTGTGTGTGTGTGTGTGTGTGTGTGTGTGTGTGTGTGTGTGTGTGTGTGTGTGTTTGTGAATTCTGTAACGAGATTGTGTGTAACATGGTTGCAACTACACAAAAACTGCATCAAATCAAATACTTATTGGTAGTTCTTACTGTAGTAATTCTCATAAACGTTACATGAGATCTGCTTCCTGAGGCAGCCGAGGGCAGCATGTTACTGAGAGGCCAAAAAAACAACCACTGAGAATTAACACGAAAATATGATTTATTTACAGAAATAAGGAGCAAAAATAACATTGGAAGTGGTTCAGCCAAAATAAATGACAATAAACCAAGCTAACTAAATTAGAATAAACCTCCCTGGAAAGTAGAAAATACAATAAAAATATAGAAAACTTACCTCGCTAGTACTAACAAACACAAGAGAAAACGAAAATAATAAACAGAAGGCACCAAATCTCCCTACCATGCTCCAAGCCAGACAGGGAAACAGATAACCGGGTTTCTCCATTGAAGATATACAACTTCACATCAGCATCTCACAAAACGCCATATAAGAGACATCAGCAACAAACACTCATTTATATCACTTGAGCAATAACATCTCCACAGAGAGCAGGGAGCCCATCGAATCCATGCTCACTGAAGGTTTAAATACAGCTGCCGACATTCATGATCCGACGTAGGCTAATCCACTGCACCTGCGAATAATTCGAAATGAGAGGGAGATCGAGGGAAAGAGAGGGAAAGAAACAACACATACAAGCCTACACTACACTACAACAACAACTACTCGTGACAATAGCAAGAATTGTACCTTAAAATAAAGTGTGAGCAACACATTTTACATTCTGGCTGTCATATCACCACAAGCACTTTACAAGAAGACGCACCATCTTGCTTCCATCACAGAGTACAAATTGTTAGTCCGATCCACTAGAACATCTGGAATAGCCATTGTAAAAATTGTTTGTCTCACAGTTCAGAGCTGAAACCCAGCAAACGCATAACGTTCCCGGGATGTTCTCGGAAGGTTCCCTGAAGGTTTTCAGAAGGTCCAGGAAACGTCCCCACAACAAACACCCTAACGTTCCGTTAGTTAGCCAGGAAAGTTTTGTTGACGTCAATACAATGTTTCCAGGATAAATACAAAACAGAAT